AGTGAGGATTCAATGATGATAGCAAATGGCTCACCTAACGATCAAAATGAGCCTCATTATACTAATTTGGACCAACAACATGTGGATATTAAAGGTCAGTTTAATGGTCCCAAAACTTGGACTCAAGATGATATGAATTCAGCTTTAGATGCATTGAAGAATCAAAATATGAGCCTTACAAAGGCCTCAGTCACATATGGCATACCATCTACCACTTTGTGGCAACGTGCCCATCGTATGGGCATTGAAACCCCAAAGAAGGAAGGTGGTACCAAATCATGGAATGAAGATTCTTTAAATAATGCTTTGGAGGCCCTTCGTTCGGGCCAAATATCAGCAAATAAAGCTTCTAAAGCCTTTGGTATACCTTCGTCGACACTATATAAAATTGCACGGCGTGAGGGTATACGCTTGGCGGCACCATTTAATGCCGCTCCAACAACGTGGACTCCGGAAGATTTGGAGCGAGCATTAGAGGCAATACGTGCCGGGCATACGTCCGTTCAAAAAGCCAGCGCCGAATTTGGAATTCCTACAGGTTTGTGTTGTGTTATATAGTTTTATTAAATTTATTTTAATTTTTGGCTTCAACATCAATCATACCAAGGCGAATTCATATAAGGTTGTGTTACCGTAGCAGCTGATTTCAAGGCGAATTGTGCTGATTGTCAAAATTATGTGTTTGTTGTCAATTTTTTGTGTTCCGATTGTCATCTTGCGTACAATTTGTTAGTGTAGTTTTTTTTTTTGTTTTTTTATGCTGCTGCTATCACCTTGTATGAATTCGCCATACATCATACATTGATCGCTGTTTATAAAATGATTAAACTGTCATTCCTGATATTAATTTGAGCCTTGAAATCGACTGAGTAATGTTCAACCAAGATAAAATGTTTTGACTAACGCAATTAGAAAAAAACAAGTCTTCCAATAAGGAATCCCATTGATGTCATTTAAATCGGCTAATTATTTAAAACGTATCTTACAGATTGCTCACTGATTCCTGAGCAAACTTTTCCCTGCGTCAAAGCGTATTTTATCGATCGAATGACGTAATTGAAAAATCTAAATTTCGCTTTTAAACTGTTGATCATCTTCTTTTTGGGTTTCCGACCATTGTGCGTTGTAGGCATAATAAAAAACTATCATAAACTAATTTATAATACTCATTATTTTATATAACTACCAAAGGAACACTTTATGGACGCTGCAAACGTGAGGGTATTGAATTGTCTCGCTCGAATCCAACACCCTGGTCAGAAGATGCAATGAATGAAGCTCTAAATTCAGTCCGGTACGTAACTGCATCATTTCGGTTGCAATATTACTTTTTAAACTAAATATTTATGTTTGTTTGTAGTATTGGTCAGATGTCCATTAACCAGGCCGCGATTCACTACAACCTCCCCTATAGCTCTTTGTATGGTCGCTTTAAACGAGGAAAATATGACGTGGCTAATACAAGTAGCACCTCCATTAACAACACATCAGGAAATACTTCGGGAAGCATCGAAATTATCGAACATAGTCAAGAAAACTCGGTAAGTTTAGAGACTGTACAGGTAAAGTGTTCAAACAATTACAAAAAGTGTGCAAACCCATCCAAAACTGACAAGACTGCTCTTGTCCAACCAACGAGGGGGGTCTGTTACTCTTGTTATCCAAATAAATTCTCATTGACGGATCTATTTAGATACAGTTTTCGAATAAATTGAGAAGCGCGTTGGAATCCCATGATCGGTCACGTTTTTGACCGCGTAACTGACATTTTTTGCAAAAAATTGGACTTGCTCTTGGCTCAATCCTTATCCCTTCGTCCTGAAATATACTAGCCAGAAATGCGATTGATTTATAAAAAAAGGGGCAAAAGGTGCGTTCGTTTAAAATCTTCAGTAAAAAACATCCAACAGCAAAATTCGGGAGAAATGTCATCTGTTCTCTCACAAGAGAAATATATATAAATAGTACGCGAACAGAAAATTTGCAGAAACGTGCAAGTTAGACGAACAGCTGATAGAATTTGTGTTTACATTGGAAATTGTAAAATTTAAAACGTACGAAAACTCAACACAAAAAGTTTCCGTGACACAGTTTATTAATTAAACGAATAACTACTTAGTTCTTACAAGTTTAATTGGTCGAATTTTATCATTTTAACTTCCAACACCAACAAATTCAAATTAATAACTTTTTTATTTTAATAAATAAACAAAAAATTAAAAACTTGTAAATTAAATTGATTTACGTAAATTCCTACCAGCCGTTTTTGATCAGCTGTTTTCCTCTTGGCAAAAGTTCTCCAGCAGAAACTAGCAGCTTGCCCTCAAAATGAAATGTCACTTTGCTCTCTCAATTTCCCTTACCTTGGGAAGTTTTTTTCGTCATAAACGAATGCAAAAACCTGAAAGTTTTGGTTATCTTTGAACAATTAACAGCTAAGCGAACGCAACTTATTTTGAAATATGAGTGTTTGTGTTTTGTTCGGTTTGTTTGTTCATAAATACATTTTTAGTTTTATTTTTTCTTACAAATAAACGAATGCGTCAATAACTAAATTATAAAGTTACATATGTTTCAGCAACAGTTCCAGTATAGTCCGTCACCACATCAACAGCCTCAGCATGGCGGACAGACTCAATCACAGACGCCTCAACATTTAACTCAACATGTTGTACACATTCAGCAATCACAGACTCATCATCAGCAGCAGCAAGTGCACGCTCAACAGCAACAACATATCCAACAGCAACAAGATGTAGTAACATCCAGCAGCCAAGTGGCCCATAGCAGTGCAGCGGGTGGGCAGCAGCAGCAACAAATTCAACAGATCTATCATCACCATAGCACGCCGGAAAGAAGTTGAGAATCACTGCAACAAGTAGCTAACAGCAACAACAACTCAACATCAACTAACAGCAGCAACAACAAAAGGAAGAAAAGCTCGAAAGGTAAACGTTGAGAAAGGCGCACCAGTGATGTGTTTTTGCCTATAGAGGTTTGCAATAAAAATGTGAAAGAAGACATTCAAAGTGATGATCAAGTTACTACAAGAAAATTGAAAGCGAGAAATATGAAAGGCAACCGCAAAAAGTTCAGAATAAAATTGTTTGCGGGCAATTAAGGATGAATTTGTTTTAGAACGATTCGGCGGTAATTACATGAACTGAACCGAATGAAGATATCACAGTAATAATATTGGCTTAAGAATGATAATACATAGATTGAAATAGATTTGAATTAGCAACTATTAAGTGAAAGCGAATTATGTACCCCTTATGTATTCTATACATAAACCACTGAAGCATAATAAATAATAATACGTTCAAATTGACATCATTTAATTAAATGGGGAAAGATATTTCGTAAACTAGTTCAAACACATACAGTTTGTTGTTGGAATTGGAACAAGTTAAACCATTGTAACACTTGAAAACCAGTTCGGCACTGGGTTATAACAGCAAGATTCCCGACAAAAAAAAAAACTTAATAAAAACTGTTAGTGTGTGAACGAAAAACCTAAAAACTATAGAAAGAAATTATGCAAAAGACGTCAGGAGATTAAAAATGGCAAAGTTAAAAACTTTGAGGAGAGTAGAAAAAGTTCAACTGGCCCTACCCCACGTGATTTAATAAACGAATAAGGAAGAAAGAGAAGAACAAAGTTAGAACGCTCCCCATTGTAAACAAATCATATATAGAGTTCGAAATAAAGAAAAATAACTCACATCCGATTCTCTCAAATTCGCCAAGAGCTATATATAGCGTTGAATGCGTCTCTTTGTTTCTTCTCTTCGCCGAGGTCCGACCTGTACAAAGAGTCGCTTATATATAGTTCAGGTGTGGGAGGAGACAATAATATTGATCTTCCGTAGTGTTAAATGCTGTCAATTTGAACCAGGAATGGGCGTTTTTGATTTAATTATTATTCAAATAAAAACCAAACTTTTATTCGTCATTCAAGTAATTTTGAATGGTGAATTTATTTTCATTAGCATCCAAATTCCTTTGAATGACGAATAAAATTTCATTCATCATCCAAATAATTTCGAATGGCGAATAAATTTGTTTGTATTCATCCTTCAAGTATTTTAAAAAGCGAATAAACTTTCATTCACCATTCGAGTAATTTCGAATAACCAATAATTTTCAAAGTAAATGGTCGTTTGCAGGCAGATGTTCGTGTCTACTGATCAAAAAATAAATAAAAATTACTTAGATAATGAATGAAAATCGATTCGTATTTGAAATTTCTTGAATGATTAATAAATATAAATGCATGAAAATTTATTCGTTATTCGAAATTACTTGAACGACGAATTCAAATTTATTGTAAGTTTTCTTTCATTCAATTATTGATTTTCCTGATTACGCCCATCCGAACTACGTACACAAATGTACAGTGTACTTTTGTATAATTTTGAAACGAATCTATAAAAGGAAAGAAAGATTGTCCACGGGTTCGCTCACAAAAACTTGTATTAACTGCGGTTGAATATCCTTTATAGAAGACAAATGGATTTTCCTTTTGCATAATAGAAGAGGAGATGGATTTGAAACATGAATTGTATTTTTGATAATTGAATAGTAGCAAAACTACATACATATGTATATTGCATATAAAAAATTTTACCGATATGAAATATTCCAAAATTGAAATGTTTGGAGTCGTGACAAAATTACAAATAAGTTCTTTCACCACTAGCTTTAGTGAGTAAAATAGTTTTTATCTTAAAATAAATACTGTTTTGTCAATCAAAACTAGTAATAATAAACAAATAGGTTTAAATGTATTACATTGACCGAAGAAGTGAATAAAAAAGTATGTAACGGGAATGGAATTATCCGACCAATCTGAGTTGACCGCGACCGCGTAGCTTTTCGTTAAATAATATTATGTATTCGATACTTATGTAGATGCGTAAAATAATGTTGATCATATTTCTTGTAACTATTTAATATGTAAGTTATTTTGTTCCAACACTAATTCATTGAACTGAAATTCAGTATATTTTTTCAGAAGCAATCAAATCAATATTACACAGAAACAGCAAATAAATAAATTGTATCATCATTTCCAAATTAATTGCTAATGCAACGGTGAAACATCAAAAATTTTAATTATATATATACTATACATAGTTAAATGCAAATACAAAGTATACCGAAAATATTAAATAATCACGAGAGACAGACGATATCATGGTATATGATAACTTATTATAAATATTAATAATATAATATTAAAAAAAATACCATCAACATCAGAAATTTGTTGCTGCTGCTTTGAAACTTTGAATAGTAAGAAAACATCCGTGTGGAGTGCTTCACCCACGATGATGATAATCTAATTATAAAACAGACTAAAACATAAAATAAAACAAAAATATAAATGTAGTTATTATTACCATTTACTAAAGCATTCATATTCAAAAAGTACATATATGCGATATAAAAAATGCAAAACTTTTAACATGGCGAGTGTACACTCAAAACCACCCAGCGTTGTCTGCGACAGTATCTAATCAGAAATTCAATTTATAGTGCATAAGAGACAATTCTCGGGTTGGATTTCATACCGTGACGGCATTTCGTGGTCTATTTTATTTTTTTTATTTTTATTTTTTCTGATAATTCAGAAATGAGGTAAATATGCTATCCATTATATACTTATCGATAAGGCAAATCTTAGGTCGAGGCCACGCAATGAACGGCAAAACGGCGAGCGGCGGCTGAGCGGCATTTCTGTATGGCCACTTCAATAGTATTTTATATATTTTAATTTTAAGCCGCCCTACGCTTTGCCGCTCATTGCGTGGCCTCGGCCTAAGTCTTCTCCGAGCTCTTGCAAAGCAAGTCCAAATTTATAAAAGAAATACGCACGATCCATGAAGTTTCCACACGTGACATATTTGAAAGATAATACCAGTAGCAAAATTGGCAAATTAATCTGAAATGCAATGGGTTTAAGGTGTCAAATTTAGGAATGTGTTACATTTGTTTAGTGCTGATTTTGACCTTTCACTTTTGGACGAATAAAAATATGAGATTTTTTTTCTTGATTAGGTGTCTGAACAACATGAATTAGTTTTTTTATTTAAAAGAAGGGTTATGGTCTTTCTATCAGTAGACAACATGCTATAAAATGATAATTAAAACAACACTGTACATAGAATATATTATGGCAAATAAATATGGATGTAAAAATCACAGCTAAGTGAATTTGTTCTTCGGTTAGTATTTATGAAGTAAACATTAAAGTTAAATAGCTTTAAATTGCTCTTATGCGGATTTTTTTTTGAACACCACCAGCAAATCTGCCTTTTTCGATGCACTTGTAGATATAGGTTTCGCACGAGGCGATTTTTCAGGCAACTTTTGCGTTCAACTCACGCAGGGTGCACGAAAAAAAAAATTTTATGGCTAAAAATATCAAAGTATAAAAAAAAAATAAAATATTCGCCATAAAAAGGCGTTTGCATTGTTCAACTTTGCAGTCTACTTTTGGTGGAACGGCCTTTCAACTAATCGCTTTCAACAAAGTTCGTCGCCAGCCAACATTTAGCTATTCAACTTTGTTTTTCGTGCAACCCTGCGTGAGTTGAAAGCAAAAGTTGAACGTAAAATCGCATTTTAAGATAAATTAATGAAGTTTTCGTAAAAAACTGCGGCAGTATCCGAAAATTCAATTCCAGAAATCACATAGCAAATATAAATTAAAATGTTCACTTTTAACTGTAGGGAATGCGAAAGTCGCGGAATTCCTAGCTTGATCACGAACGAAATCGAAAGCAGTTGCCGAGGCTGAAAATCGTATGAAAAAAGCATGCAATCTTGCCAAAACAAAAAAGGCGTCATAGGAATAACAACAGGTCTATTGTGAGATCAGCTCCTTAAATATTATGATAATAACTTGAAATTTTCTTTCTATCAATAAGCTCGTAAATAAAAGGTCTACTATTGGCCAATAAACGAATCATATAATTGCACTAATCCGGGGTTATGCCGTTCAAATGTGATGCGTATTACTTGCTTTGTTTTATAGAGCTCTTAAATTTGCGCAAATCGTTTGTGTCGTTTAAAAAAGTTCTTATTAACCCGCATCCATCGTTTGTCTCAAATTGATGCCAATTTCGAAAATATTTTAAAATATTTAAAAAAATGGTTAATGTTTTGAATTGCGGCAAATGGGTATACATAGATCTTTCAAGCATATTCACCGCCCTATTCCCACAACACTGACAAAACTCATCGTATGACTACTGTCACAATTATTGCGCCTAAAACACAATATGTATAAACCAACCAACCAATGAGGTTGTTTCGCCGTTGTCGCGCACTCAGTAGGCCATAACAACAACACTGACAATTGTCACCATACGAGAGTTTAAAATAAATTTGCGGCATAGTATTAGGCGCAGTAGTAAAGGCAATAGTCAGCTGCTGAGTTTTGTCAGTGTTGTGGGAATAGGGCGTTATTCTCATTATCAGAAAATGAATAAACGTTGGTCATTAATAAAACATTAAAAAACCAACATTTCATTGTATACTAGGGTCTTTTTCCATATGCATCAAATTAATGCACAACGTAATTTGTGCTACAAAAAACTTCCAATGGTGGCCATATTTTAAAAATAAAAATACAGTACAAATCAAGCCGAACTCGTACAAGGTGAAAGCGGCAGCGCAAAAACAAAAAACTACTCTAACAATTTATACGCAGGATGAATTTCAGAACACAAAAAATGAACAACAAACACATCATTTCAGGATGCTAGGATAACAAGTTTTCATTACGTACCAAGGCACATTGAACAGGTAGTATCGAAAATGTCAAATATTTTTAATTTATTCTCAGAAAAATTCTAAATTGTTAAAATCTATTTGCATGTGAAACGTTTTTCCATACAAAACAAGCGATTGAATAACAGCTTTTGGAACGTTCACCCAACTCAGCAGCCCTCCTGATGTCGCCCGAACGCCATCTTCACGGCGAGGCGCAAATGCTCCCCGTAAAGGAGCACAATATAATGCTCTGCAAGCAGTTCCTGATTGGGAGCCACAGAAGTGGCCACCCAAACAGACAGCTGCTTGCAGAGGAGCCCTCGCCTAGGCACGTCAGGAGGCATCTATATGAACTGACGGGCGAAGTCCAGAGGTTCATCAAGCAACCTCTGGACCCGGCAGCTTACCGACAGGCCCTGAACGGCATTCACAGGGAGTCAGTCTCGAGTTATGTAGACTCTAGACCTGTGAATGCCGTTCTTGGCATACCACCCCCGGACACAGACGAGACGGAGCTTCATCTGCCTCGGGAGACTCGCACAACTTCGCTCCGGCTACTGCAGCAGGTTAAACTCCTACCTGAGTAGATTGAATGAGGATGTGCCGAATGAGTGTCCGGCATGCGGAGAGACCCCACATGACTCGAAACATCTCTTCGCATGCCCGGAAAACCCGACAACCCTAACGGCCTTGTCCCTGTGGACCAACCCCACAGAAGCTGCACGCTTCCTAGGGCTGCCGTTAGTGGAACTTGACGACAACGACTGAGATACCAACCGTCCTGGGCGGGGTTGTTGTAGCCGCTACAGCAACAACAACAACAACAACCACCTTGTGGAGTGCTCCTATTGACTCTGCACTGAGTGCAGACGCCCCCACTCCGCCGCGACAGTTCTGTCACGAAGTGAGCTGTAGATAAGCCTTATTAAGTAGGTTTAAACGCGAAATTGTTAATGGTTTGAACGAATTTATCGCCCAGGCCATGCGACGATGATCCAGAAGATCGGAGAAGTACAAAATATCGCAAAGAAGTACATTTGACTGTACTTCGAAGTACAATGTACAAGAGCGAAAAAAGAAGTACTGTACTTCCGAAAGAAGTACGGTTGGTCACATTAAGTGTACAGTAAAAACGCAGACAACATCCGAACATTTCGAAGTAATTGGCAACTTTGCGTCAATGTTTTTAACAATTCGATAATTGAATCCGAACTCCTAGCTTCATATATGGATTCAGTGATAGCGTTTTCGTAGATTTTACGAAAAATCAGACCATAATGGACTCAGCGGTGTTTAGCTTGGCTAGTGATTAAAGTGAATAATCGGGGAAACTTTCCATTATGGCCGTTCGTTAAAGGTGCCGTGGGCGAAGGTGGAGTGGGCGTGGCACCTCTAACCGACCCTTTTGGAGAGGGCATGAACCGCCATTGGCAAAAATGCAACCACCGACCACCTAGGCCCCCTATGGTTCCCTACGGACCCCTTAGAAAAATGGCCAAAAATCGCAATTTTTACTTGCGTAGGCGGCCTTCGGCCGCGCTTAGGGATTACAGTGAAACCTCCCTTGGGCGGACACTCACCGTCAGTCATTTTTTGTCCGCCCAAGAGAGGTGTCCGCTCAATGCAAGGGAAGCTTATTTTAGAACTTTTTAATATTTTAATTAATTGAATAGTCACTATTTCTTATATGAACAAAAGATATTGATATTACATCGTTCAAACAAAAATGTGCATGTATTTTTTCAAAAGTGCATATTTCATTTATGTGCGTAAGTACATATTAAGTAATAACAAAATAAAAATAAATATTACGTTTCAGTCCATAAACTACATAAAACCATGGATTCATTACATACAAAACTGGGAAATTGTCGATTGACGTAAGTTTTATTTTAAATTTTTTTCAGTGTCAGTGCCTTTTTCATCAATAGTTTTCATGTTTTTATCAGTAAGTAACAAAATCCAACCAGAAATCTAAATTTTCGGTCCATGTATTTATTATTATCTATTGGTATAAATTCATCAGAATTGGAATTGGATTCTCCAAGGGTTTCTGATAATTCCAATAACGAACCTAAACCACTGCGCAAAGCAAACTAAATGTGTGCATACAAATTGTAGTAGTCCGCCTATGAGGAGTTCGCGTCCGCTCAACGGAGGTTTTTGTTTGATTTGTTATGAAAAGAAATCTTAATATCCGTTGAGAAGAGGTTCGCGTCCGCTCAATAGAGGTTTTTGTGTCAATTTTATGCAAAATAACTGTCCGCGTCCGGCGGAATAGAATTCTCCTTTCTGCGTGACCTAACTGGAGCTACCGCCCCAGTGATGTAACCTTGGGAAAGGATGAGGTAACTAGAATTCCCTTTCTGTGTGGTAAACCTGAGGCTGCCGCCCCAGTGATGTCTATTTTGGGTACTAGGTGTTTTATAAAAATCAGCCTCATTGCGTAGGTCGTAAATTAGGCTAAATTGTACGACTCGACAATAGTAGCATTGTCTATTGTCGTAATGAAATAAGTAAACGACCAAAATCGTCGAAAACTATACAGTGCTGCCAAGTTTTTCCGATTTAATACACTAGTCGAGTGGAAATTTTAGGCAATGACGTGGAATTTTCGATACGATTCGACTCTCGAAAAACGACTGGCATTCGACACGACTCTCGCAATGAGGGTGAATGTCTTGTATATAAAAATGTGTATATAAAAATGTATTGTGCAAATGAATATTTAACATTTTTCGAGCGAGTAAACGCAAATGAAAATTGTGATTTTTGGCAATTTTTCTAAGGGGTCCCTAGGGAACCATAGCGGACCTAGATGGTCGGGGGTTGCATTTTTGTCAATGGCGGGGTTCATTCCCTCTCCAAAAAGGTGGGTTAAAGGCGCCACGCCCACTTACCTTTCGCCCACCGCCCCTGTAACGAACGGCCATAAAGGAAAGCCAACCCGAGTAATCTCTTAGTTATTTGAAGCCATTACATTTACTATTTAACAAATTATGAGGTTTAAATACAAAACTTTTATTAATAAAAAACAAGCATATCGCTCATTTACTTCAATAGTTACTAACTCGAAAAAAAAAAAAATAATGGGGAAAACGACTTTAAAATGTTTCATTTTACATACATACACTTGTGATCAGCTAATTAAGCGAGCATCATTGTGATCAATTTTGACTATTTTACTTTCGTAACTTTGTGCAAAAATTATGAAAAATCTGCAAAATTTCAGCTAAATTTTCAACTTTTTATTCAGATTTTTTGATATATAATTTTTTTTCTGACTGCATACAAATTTTTTTTCCATACAAAATAATTTCGAAAATGCGTCATGAAGTCAGAAAAAAAATATTAAAAATCAACGCGATTTTTTAGCAACTTAAGACTTGCACATTATTACCCTAGAATTTAATGGGCTATTAAACTGCATACTCGAAAAAATTCTATATCTGAAAATCTGAATAAAAAGTTGAAAATCTAGCTGAAACTTTGCAGATTTTTCATAATTTTTACACAAAGTTTGAAATCTGGATTTATGTGATGTTTGTTATATAATGAGCTAGACTTTTATGGAAAAATAATAAACATTAAATAAAAAAAAAGAAAAATAGCCAAAATTGATCAAAATGTTGCTGGCTTAATTAGCTGATCATAAGTGTATATCACTACTACTACTGTTTTTACACGGTAGATACGCTCCAGTCAAAACCGTTTAAAAAAATTAAACATTAAGTATACAATACAATACAAATAAAAAAAAACAAAAGGTACACAATCCAGTTCTTAACCAATTTTTTGTTTATGGTACTATTGAAGTAAATGAGCAATATGCCTACACATAAATACGAGTCGAACTTACAGAAATGTTGGTGCAAGTTCTTCAATTGGCAGTTGCCAAACTTATCACATCGACAATCTTTCTGAAGTCGCCGTATGTGTGGCTACTATAATAAAGATCACTTATAAGTTCTACTTGCGGGAACGTCAGCAGGGCATCACAATTTTGTAAAACCACAACGCTAAATACTTTGGATTGTATTGTTGGTGACAGGTGGTAAGCTATAAGTCCTTGCTTTGATCTATCGTCTTTTAAGCAATCCATCAAATTGAACAAAATTGAAATGCACTGAACCAAAGTTTGTAAATATGAAAGGTCTGCATTCAGTTTAGATATGTCTTGAGCAAAAGATGTCACAAAGGTATATAGATCTATTACAATTATGTTGGGCTTCACCCTCCAGGCATGCAAGTCCAATAACTTCTTTACTGCTGCACCAACATTTTCGCAACAACTGCAAAAAAAACAATTACATATGAAAACATTTATTATTATTTTTACCATTGTGGATACCAACATAAAAATTAACCGCTGTAATGCCTGCTTGTTTTTGTACACCTCTATTCCAAGTCTTTTGGCCAGTGGTAGCAATTTCGGGGTGGACCCACATTGTGTAAGCACAGCGACGGTTTTGCCGGCTGAAGCCAATAGCATCAGTTCCTAAAACAATAAAAACAATTTAAAATTAAATCAAGTATTACATAGATATTACCTACACCGTACATTTCTTCAGCATAATCCCTACCATTTGGTAAAAATAGCAAGTTTTTTACATTTATCCGAGGGAAATTCATTTTGTTTTGAAAATAAACGAAAACCCATGATTTAATGAGATGCTCGTAAATTCTAGCCGTGGGTAACACAGTGCGGCGCTGCACCATTGCGCTGATACCGAGAGCTGAGTTACTGGCGCCGATACCGATTGTCACAACTCAGTGACGCAATGGCGCCAGCAACACCGGAACACTGACAACACCAGACGACGCAAAGAACCAGCAATGAACACACAAAAGCGAAGTATCACTTGTAAAATGTGCAGCACAAGGCGAATTTTTACAAGGTGGTGTTGCTAAAATTAGCCGCAGTCCTTCTTAATGTGAAAATTATGTGTTTGTTTTATTTTTGGGTTTTGAAATTGGGTATACTTGAGTTGCTTTTGCCCAACTGATACCACCTTGTATTAATTCACCTTCGTTCAACACCGGAACACTGACAACACCGGGTGTCGCAAAGAACCAGCAAAGAACACCCGAAATAGAAGTGTCTCTTGTAAAATGTGCAGCACAAGGCGAATTTATACAAGGTTCGTCGCGGTCCTTCTGAATGTGAAAATGATGGGTTTTGAACTTGGGTATCCTTGAGTTTTTTCTCAACCGATATAACCTTGTATTAATTCACTTTGGTGCAGCGTGCAGCAATAAAAGAAATGAACTTTAACCTGAAGAGGCGCCACTGCGCCAACACACTGTGCTGGTTCCGACATTGGCGCTGGAGTTAGTGTGTCAGCGCCAAAAAATTTGCGCCGTTACCCAGGCCTAGTAAATTCCTTTCAAGCCTTCCTCATACGGCACTAGAGGTGGGTAACTCAACTCAGAGTTGAATTGAGTTGATTCCCACAAGTGAATTGGAAACTCACATTCCCTGCCCAAAAAAAAAATGTAACTCAGTGGCTGAATTTCTTTATTCATTCTGAACATTTGGAATAAACTTTTTTGTTTACTTATTCTTTAGAACGTTCCTGATGATATGTTAACGTATATTTCAAGCGTATTCTGTTTATTCCGGCTGTGAAATGGGATTATCCGGAATGTATAAAGAAACGCAGCCAGTAACTCAGTTGATGTCCTAGGGCTCACATGATTCAATTGAATCATAGTGGCTCATATTTTTTACTGATTTTAATGGTGTAAACCATCTCTGGTGCTAATTAATATCCCCCCCCTAGAGGGGGGTAAAAGTTGGATTTTCAATATTTTCAAAAGTTTATATATCGCAAAATATTGCACCGATTTTCAAAATGTGGAGATGGTTTGATAGGCCGAAGAACGCCTACGGTATGCGACATAGCATACATAAAAAAAATAATATTTTTGCATATAGTAAATTACGTATTTTTTAGAAAAATCTACATTTTTAATAAAAAATTGTTATAATTTCGTAATGTAAGGTGTGCATATCAGATCAATTGCCTTTCCCACCATATCCACATTTTGAAATTCGGTACAATAGTTTTCGAAATATAAGCTTTTGAAAATATTGAAAGTTCTACCTTTACCCTCCCCCAGCACCACCCCTACTAATTTACACCAACAAAGATTTACACCTTTCAAATCAGTAGAAGGGAGCTGACCACGCCCACTTTTAACTTTGTTCTACCTCAACGGCCGCTATCCGCACTTATGCCTCATACAAAGAGTCAAATGAGTTAGTTAAATGAGCTGACTCCTTGAACTGAGTTGGAGTCATTGAGTCATTTCCCATAAATTTGCTGTGTTACCCATCAGCACAGTATATACAGTAATACTAGGTTCACATATAAGTAGATTATCCTCATTTTCGAGCTTAACACCCTAATCTGTAATTATAACAAGAGATTAACCATATAAAATTCGTCCCTTGTTAATCTGTAATTATAAAATAATCTCAGATTAAACCGATAACTTTTCGGGGTCCATCCTAGTTTTATCGATTGTTTTTGCAAAAAAGAGGAGAAATGCCAAATGTAAAAGTAAACAAAAATGTACGCCAGCAAGGAAAAGAGGTTTGTAGAGGTATTTTTAATAAAATGTTAAGTTAAAATATATTAATATTGCTTATTATAGCATAAAAACGTGATCACGGTGGCACAGAGAAGAAACATAACTTTTCCTTGAGATGTGAGAATAACAAGCACAACAGATTTGACGGCTAATAATCTGAGATTTGCCTGTGTAAACGGGGTGATTAAAAATCGAGCTTTCATTGTGATAATATTGATATGTGAACATAGTTCAAAACCTTTTCACAGTTTTTCACCAATTGTGGCCCGAGGAGTACTTTTGGGTTGTGTGCAACGTTTACGTTTTGCGCGCACGGCAACACTACTGTGGGGAATTTCGCCCCATGATTAGAAAAAGGTGTTTTCCGGGATAAAATAAATATAATTTCCATTGCCATAGCGCCCGCTTACTCTGCTGCTATAATTGCAAATACATCAGAATCCATAATTTTCCTCAAAATATGTAAAATAAACCAATTTTACAATAAACAAGCACATGAGTGTTTTTTGTAATTTCTTTCCACTTTGTTTTCCTTCATTCAGCTATCTTCGAAAAACAACTGGTAGCTGGCAATGCTGCACTTATTTCCGCAAGGGTTGCGACATGTGGATTTTTCGTAGCTACGAATTACGAATTACGAAAATTCGGGTTCTAGAATAAGGGGATTAAACAAACAATGCGTGCACAACGATTAGAAAACGACAGTGCCGTACTGATCCGTTTTGCATCTTCTACGATATGCCGATAACTAGCCGATGACGACATGTGTGCAGATATCCTTTGAAATGCATGTGCTCGGCTTAAAATTAAAGCGCGAGACGATAACGCAACTATGATTGAACGACAAGTGTGCAGATAGCCTTAGTTTGTCCATGGCGGCAACGCATGAACAAACCATTTTTGAACTTTGCTCATGACAATTTCAATTTTATAAAGTAGACAAACTTCAAAAAATAAATCATGGCAACGCTCGTTTCGAGACACCTGATGAGGTTGATATTCTCAATTGTCTTGTCTCAAATTGTTGTATGAAAACGCAGCGTTAGTGAGTGAGACAATCCAGCCAGCAAGAAAACGTGCATTTTAGAAACATGTTTTACGAGGGATTCTCGGTTGGCGAAACGTTACAAAAAGGCTCGTAAACGATAAAACAAAGAAAGTAAAAGAACGAGGTTTGTAGTAATTTGTTAGCACAAGAAAAAATTTTCATTCTTTTGGAAGTTTTTCTTGAACCAAAATATTTTATAATATATAATACTGGCATACGAATGCTTTTTCGAGCCGTTTACGACTGATCGTAGGCGATCGACAATTTCAAGCGAAAAAGTGCTCGAACACGAATCGTAGCAATGATTTTGCTGGCTGGGAACTGCCATGTTATCGAACCTTTATTTTTCATGTTAAATGTCGATACAAAATTGATATTACACAAACATCGATAGGTATTTTGTGTCCTAGGAGCATAGTTGCCAAATTGTGCTTTAAGCACTAGATTTAGTGCCTTTTGAAAATTAAAACGCCAAAAAAATTGTTTAGTGCCTTTTTAGTGCTTTTCTTCTGAACTCGAATTTCTCCTAGATAGTTAAAACATGAAATAATATGAAATATTTAAAGCTGTGGCAGCACTGAATTTGAAAGGATCTACATTAATTTTTTCGTTTGTTGCGATTAGATTTTTCTTTCTCGAGGTATACCAGTTTTATTGTGCAGTACTTCGGTATTACTTCGTAAGTATGAGAAAAAGTTTTGTGTATTGATTTATACTTCTAAATATCGTTTATTTTTTTACTCTTGTTAAATACAAGCTGTAATGAAAAAAAGTATCCTTTGATACAAAAAAAATCAGTGCTTTTAGTAAGGTAAAACGCTTTCTTCCCCAAGTCTTGGTGCTTTTTGAAACTGAATAGTTGGCAACACTGCCTAGGAGCAACGTATTAAAAATAAACATTTGTTGTGTACGCAAGAGATTTTAACAAAAATCAACGTGAAAATGGATATAGCCGCGTTATCCAACGAAAGTTTTAATGCAATTGATTGGATAAATGGAAGCTATAATAAACATTTGAAGGAAATTGGAAATGAAATCGATAAAAAAGGTCCGACCGAGAGTAATGATAATGACTTCATTGCTAAGGATTTTATTGCCAAAAATGTTTCTAAATTACACTTGTATATACAACAAGTGCATAATGCCGTTGAAGAAACAAGTCAGAAAGTAGTCTCGGGCATGCCTCGGGTGGTCAAGGATGCTTTAGAGCTTCAAACCGAGGTAGAGGAATTAAAGAAACGCATGCATGCAATGCGGAGAGAAATGACAAATGTTCAAGAAGAAACTGGAGATTGTATGGCAGCGTTGGAACGTTTGAATACGATACAAACTAAACTTCAAAAGGCTAAGGAGTCATTGCAGGAATCTGATGGATGGGGAAATCTAATTTGCGAGCTCGAAGATTGCTTCGAACACAACAACTTGAAGGTACTTATGTACACATAAAATTTTATAATTTCCTAGATTAATAATTTAAAGATTTTATAGGGAGCATTCGACAAACTTCTAAGTCTTCAAAAATCACTCCAAGTACAAGAACAATTAGTTGGACATGCAGAAAGACTCGCCCAAGTCGAAGATTTTAAGAATCGACTAGAAGCAGTAGCTTCTCCAAACGTTGTTCAGTGTTTCTCTGAAGGTAGCGTTGAACATACTAAACAGTACGTAAGCATATTTTCTGGAATTCAACGGGTAGCACAACTTGAGCAATATTATCGGGCTGTTCAAAAGAACTCGTTGCAACAAAAATGGAAGCAAATACTGGATATGCAAGCAGCAGAAAGCTCAAATCAAACTCATTTTCTTTCAGTTTTTTATAATTATTTATTAGAGCATTGCCATCAGCAAGTAAAATGGTGCGCACAGGTGTTTCATAATATGCAAGGCAATATTCAGCCAGTTATTGTTATAATAGAACTTTTACCGTCATTGCAACCGTCACGTGACAGCTACATATTACAGTTGCTTAAGGCATGTAATGAGAGGTTAGAGCTTCTGGAGGAGTATGCACAAGCGAATCACACTTTCATGGCGCATCTGACGGCATTCCTAGAGCAGTCGAAAATTGAATTGTCATATGAAACTCATTGCCAATTATTGCAGTCTGTATATGGATATTTCCATAAATTCATAGAGCAATATCCACGTATAGAAGAGACTCAACTCTCAACTCAAGTAGATAAATTATTAGTAAGCCAAACATCGGCAGTGGATTCGGTTCGTCATTTGGACAATTGTAATCAAAAAATGTTTGATTGGCTGTCTGATGCATGTGAGCGATGTAGCCATATAACAGATGACTTAGGACTGTGTAGGCTTATTGAAATAATATGTGGAATTTTGAAAAAAATGCTGGAAAATTTCTCAAAAACTCAACGTCAAATATCGCTAAGTATAGATAACGGTACAGAAAATTGGTCAACACTACAATGTTCTATGTCACTTTTGCAATGCTTGGCAGACTTTCAAATTAAACTACAAAAGTTTGAAAAATCTCTACAGATCCGCATGAGTAAGTTGAAAGAAAATCTAATTTCAACCAGTTCCTGCAAAATCTCTGTTTATAAAACCTACGATATCCAAGAGCAAAAAAAACTGATAAGTAACATTGAGAAATACCAGAAAAAAAATATGGAAAGCAGTAGTGCATATGCATCGTCTTCGATATTTTTTACATTTATTTATGATCAAATTAAAATACATTGCGTGGAAACTCATGAAATAGCTCTAAACGTTTTGCTAAAGCCAATAGAGGGACATCTATTAAGTATTCAACCATCACTTAACCCGTCTTCAGATTCCTTGATGCCAGCTAATATGCCAGAGTTCAGTTTCGCGCCACAAGAATGCATTACTCAAATTGGGCAATACCTACTAACCCTCCCTCAGCATCTAGAGCCGCTTTTGTTTACGCCTTCGCCGTTGCTTAAACAAGGGCTGGAGATATGTAATGTAAAATATACACAAGCCGTTCCGTGTGCCGACATTTTATTGTCCTTAGTAGTGGAACAATGCTGTCAAGTGTATCAATCTCAACTTCTACAAATAAAAAGCTTGTCTGCTATCTCTTCCAAACAGTTTGCTGTAGATATTGAATATTTATCGAGTGTAGTAGAAGACTTGGGACTATCCATTAGTGCTAATTTATCACAAATTCTGATCCTACTTAAAGCTGCACCGGAAAACTACCTAGCATTGAGTGCTGGATGTGAGCCCCGCTTGGTAACAGCCATACGTCAAATGCGCAATATAGTTTCAACTCAATAAGTACTATACCAATTTGTGTGCCACTTGTACATCATCTGCAGTTAATTTATCTATCTTTAAGGTGACTATAAACACCTTATTTTACAGCCATCTGTTACTCAAACTCCGATTGTCTTTATTGCGGTATTGATGGAAAGGCTATTGGGACTTAGACACATAGAGTTGTCCACAAATTATTAGGAGTGCAATATTTTGGTCAGTTTCGGATATTTCTTTTCTATTTATTTTATGTTTATTATTAACCGACATCACAAAAAGGAGAAAGGTTATCAATTTGTCGGGATATTATTATTATTTTATTATTTTTTGTATGTTACCGCATAACTTTTTATAATTCTTTTTCTTTTAATGAAAGATGTTACCTCACTGGTGGTCCCATATTAATTTGGTTTAAAATTTTATATGAGAATTGAAGTCGGTTTTTTTTTATAAAAGTCTACCTGGCTGTACAACAAACACCATATAAATTTATATTTCAAACTTTCAAACTTTGTACAAAAATTATAAAAAATTTGCAAATTTTCACAAAAATTTCAAACTTTTTAATCAGAACCTTTGGAAAAAATTTTAGTTTGTACATATATTTGTAGCGTATTTAATTCTACTGTAATGAAGTGCAAGTTTCGAGCTTCTAAAAAATCCGGTTGATTTTTGGCAACTTTTTCTGGCAATGTCCTCCATATAAAAAAAAAATGTCGAACACATTTTATATATGTAAGGGCAAAACGTTAAACAACTTCAACCAAAAAACTTCTCAAAAATCAACGGGATTGAAACTTGCACTTCATCAGATTAGAATTAAATGGGCTACAAAACTGCAAATCTTCTCCAGGGAGGAAGTATATGCCCCTTTTGAACGTGGACTACTAGATTTAAACAGTGTATAGGTTAAGCACTCGTTCAATGTTTTAATAATTTACAAAATTTTTAAGTAATAAAATCGATGACTATAGTTGATTATAGCTTATTAAATGTTATTCCTAACACTCGCATTCGCATTCCGAAAATTCGCATTCCCATTTGCTAATGTGAAAAATATGACAATCGAAACATCCCGAATACATAAATATTGTCGTTATCAATGCAAAAGGTGATATTAAAAAAATAAACGTTTTTAGGATAAGCACACAAGTTTTAAATTTACTAAGGAAATGTTTTTAAAGCTGTTCTACATACATTAATATGGAAGTATTAGTTGCGTTCCAGGTGCTTCACGATTTGCAGGTTTTTACAGGAGGCCGTTTCCGGTCGCCACCTTCCATACGGTTTATTAATGGCAAAAACAGCTTTTTCTGTAAATCCTACAAAACCTGCAAAACGTAAAGTACCTGGAACATAGCCCAGTAAAATTAGATAAATTTGGTAGGAAAATTGAAAAAAAATTGTAACAGCGATTTTTTGATGCAGTTTACTTCTATTTGTAAAAATTTAATTTATCCATATATGTAGAAAATTTAATTTCCCACATTTAAGTTATAGAAGGTTTTTTAAATATAGCACTTTTATTGTAAAAAACTAGCAAAAACTGCTAAAAAATTTTACATTGTCACGGCTTTCGCCATTTGTTGACAATTTCTGTTGAAAATACATAGCATATTGAAATTCCAAGGTTGTAGAGAATTTCATTCTTCACAACTTTTATACCTAATTTTTTTTTCTACGACGCTTTGATTACGGGCGGGATCGTGCCAAACATAGCGATTATCTCAGTAAAATTAGATAAATTTGGTAGGAAAATTAAAAAAAAAAAACTGTAACAGAGATTTTTTGATGCAGTTTACTTTTATTTGACACGTAGATGTATTCACGGTCTCGCCCCTAAATTTTATTTGGCAACATTCCGCCACCTTGTATTTTTGTGTTTTTTTGGGGTTTTTTGCGATTTGCAAGCTTATTTTGAATATTTCATAAAAAATTATTAAATACAAATATGTAGAGAATTTAATTTCCCACATTTATTATACAGAAGGTTTTTTTTTAAATACGTCTTTTATTGTAAAGAAGTAGCAAAAACTGCGAAAATTTTTTTTATTCTCCACAACTTTTGTGCCCACATGGTTTTGTACGATGCTTAGATCACGGCCGGGAACTCGATAAACACAGTGATGTACGGAATGTGCCGTAAAACATATTTTTACACCACCACTGAGGTAGAGTTTTTCGGCGCTTTTTTTAACGGGGTTTCCCCAGTAGGCCTACTCCACGGGCAACGTTTTGGTTTTTTTTTTTTTAATTGAAAGCAGGTGAAGGTGTTGAACGGCGCATCCGGTACATCGCTATGCTGATCGCGTTCCCGGCCTTGATCTAAGCGTCGTACAAAAAAAAACTTTGGCACAGAAGTTGTGGAGAATGAAATTCTCCACAACTTTGGAACTTCAATATACTATGTATTTTTAACAGAAATTGTCAAAATATGGCGAAATCCGTGACGATGAAAAAATTTTCGCAGTTTTTGCTAATTTTTTACAATAAAAAATGTTTTTTTTTAACCTTTTATATAAAAAAATGTGAAAAATTAAATTCTCTACATATTTGTATTTAATAATTTTTTATGAAAAATGCAAAATATGCTTGCAAATAGCAAAAGACCCAAAAAAAAAATCAAATCCAAGATGGCGGATTGTTGCCAAATAAAATTTAGGGGCGAGACCGTGAATACATCTACGTGTCAAATAAAAGTAAACTGCATCAAAAAATCGCTGTTACAAATTTTTTTTTTAATTTTCCTACCAAATTTATCTAATTTTTCTGGCTAATCGCTATGTTTCGCACGTTCCCGGCCTCGATTTAAGCGTCGTATAAAAAAAAAAGTTTGGTATCAAAGTTGTGAAGAATGAAATTCTCTACAACTTTGGAATTTCAATATGCTTTGTATTTTCTACAGAAATTGTAGAAATATACAAATAAATTGAGTTTATACATTATATGGAAGCCAATGTGACAAAAAAAATTCTAAAAAATTAACGGTAATTCGTAGCCACTTGGAAATGGCGTGCTATAGATATTACCGATACTGTACCTGTTCATTTGCATCAAAACTTCGTGGCGGCAACATTATTGATATTTGAATATAAAAGCAAATATTGATCTGTTTTCTGTTAAAATATTTGTTATTATGTAATTGGATGTAAAATAGCCAATTTTCTAAATTTTTGAAGGGTTTAAGTCGGGCAAAAATACGTTTTAGAAGCTCTCTCACAAATGCTTATATCAAGATATAAAAAGCCCTTACAAATATCGCCACTGATATAACTTATATCTAGCGACCAAAATGAGAGCTGGACAGCAATAAAATTTATCCTATGGAGACGGCCAGTTATAGTCAAATTTTAAAAGCAATTTTTCAAATAAGATAGTGTCAAAATCTTTCTCCTCGCTCTAATTCCTTCACCTGGTATAATGCCGCCATGGTATGTATGTAAGTCGAAACATTTTTGCGAAAAATGGTCTTGCTAGGTGACGCCAGGATCGAGATATTTTAAAAAACCGTCTTAGAAAAGTGCTTAGAAAAGTTTTTTTTCTCTTTTCTAACAAATATGAAATTTCGGGTTAATACACTTATGAAAAAAGCGTTTGATATGCTCGCCGCTCCACTATGTTTTTAACCTAAGCTAAAATTCCTGTTTAATTTGCGTTAAAAATTCGTTTAAAAGGTTTAAAAGCAATATAAACAAAAGTATTACGATGGAAAAAAATGTTCCGTGCGACTGATTAAAATTAAATTAAGAAAGTATAAATAATTTTTGGGTAAAATCAAGACAAATTTTAAGAGACATCAATGTTCAACATTATAAAAGTAGTCACATTGAAATATTCAGGTTTCGCTGAAATCGGCGCTTGAAATGTTGGCCGCGAAAACCACTTCTGTTTTTATTGGCCCAAATCATCTTTTGCACCAATTATAGGGCTAAATAGGAGCTAAGTTAAGCCCTCTGTCAAAATAAAAAAGTTTTAAATTACGGTTTATTTCAGTTATGCGTACGTACGATCACGCACGTCATAATGGAAATGCTCATGTGTACATATACATATATGCATGAAGTATGTATATTTGGAAAAAAAAAATTTTTCAAAATATTTTTTCTTTATTCTACGCTTGCATCAATAAAGTTAATTGGCTGGGAGGCATATGGGCCAACTTTAAGTAGTTTCTCTATTTATTTTTTATTTATATTTATAAATAAATAATCAATAACAGAATATAATTTAAAATCATTTTATATGTATTTTAATAATTAAATTTTAATAACAATGTATAAAAATGAATTTCTATTTAAATAAAATCAATTGTATAGATATGTATGCCAATTCATACATACATACATACATACATACACAAAGATATACCCATACAAAATTGCGCACATAGTTTTGACATTGCGAATTTAGAACGGCCTAAAATGCAAAAGAAGCAACACTTGTGTAAAGTGACAAAAGCAGTAAGTCATGAAACAAGTGTGAGACTGCCAATGGGAAGTCAGTGTAAGGTTATTTTCATCTAAGTAAATTTACAGGAAGTGTGATGGGAAATAGATTTCTTTTCTGCACAACTAAGTACTCAGTTTCCAGTGAAAATAATTCACATTGATATAAGCTAGTTATTCAAAATTCTAGGGTACGAAGCATTGATAGAAAATTAAAGCAAAATTAGTGTCGTTATTCCAGCAAAATAAAAACCGTGCCTCAATTAAAAAAAAAAAAAACAATGTGAAAGATACTCCTACATATGTATGTATGTATGTACCAAGTTGCCTTCTGTATATACATGCTTCGTTGGTTTAGTTCGCGAAAAATTGTTAACAAAAAGTGTTAAAATATAAAAATCGATATATTTAATATATGCAGCTCGTGTACATACATACATCCCATTCTTGTTTGTACATACATACATACGCGAATAGGAGTTGGTATGTAGTGGGTATGGGAAAATGTCTGGGTGATGCATTCATTTGCATATACAGTCAGCCAATAAAGATTAGGTACAGCGAATTTTTTACAACACCGGCAACCCCAAAAATAAGAGTTCCAAACCTCATGCAAAAGTAAAGAAAGTTGTACAAATTTGCATCCAAATATTGCACTTTATATTTATACTATTTAAAAAAAAGTTGAGTACGGAGTTTTTTAGCCCATTGAAAAATTCTAAAAAATCTGCGATAATTTTTGGCCATTTGAAACTTTATTATACTAGAATTGAACGAGTTGAAATTCCACACAAAAAACGTCCATTCCCCGATTCCCCACGCAAACTGAAATTGCCCGCTAATCGGGGGAATTCCCCAG